ATTATAAACACATTAATAAGATATGGTGTTTTATTTTTTACTTTCTTTAAACCAAACAAGACATTTAACTTTAAAGGAGATTTTACCTGAAATTAAGTTAATTAAATCTGTATTTTATAAATGAGATAGTTTGTTTTTTACAGAATAGTCTACATAAAATATTTGTTTTTATATTTTTATTTCATTAAAGCAGTCAGTAATTAAACGAGCTGTTTCTTATTTAATGAACTGAAGAAGCAACAAACAGGATGAAGAAACGTTTCTGTTTCTGATCTTTTATTATTTACAGCTGAAGATGAAGTCTTGTTATAATACATCAACCGTGAGCACGCACGCTCACGCACATTAGACGACGCGCTCACGCACGTACGTGCACTTGTTGTCGGACCTGTGACTTGTCTTCTGGACTCAGAGCAGGTTGGACTGAATTTACTGAGAAAACAAATCGTGTTGAAACGAGATGAGCTTCGACGACTTCATCTTCGTGGGACGGTCTGCGGGACTTGGTGCGGCTGTCGCTCCACAACTTGGTCAGTTTCAGCTTCTTTTACATTTATTATTAAAGTCACATAATGATGCATAAAAATAATCCCTAAAACACACAAATTAATGAAACAATTAAGAGCCACYCTTTGAATTTAAAGGTGAAAATGTTACATTCTGTCATTTAAGCTGCTTTGGAAAAACAAATTGTGTCAAATCAGATGAATATTTAATGATTGTTCTGTTTATGATGAAAACTGGCGGTAAAAAAAAATGCAAAATTCTCCCGGGAAAATGTAGCATGTAAAAAACGGATGTAATGCTTTAGAAACATAACTTATTTTCTTTTATAAAATGTATGTTTTTGACATTTTGGTGCTGAAATTGGAAAAAACAAAATGGCGACCAGATCAAAATTCATAAAATGCTAAAAATGTTTTTCTGTTGCTATGATGGAAACGATGGAACTTTGGGCTTCGGCCGTCAGAACGTCAGTCGGCTCACGTTCTGATGCGTCGGTCACGTGACGTCAGCACGCACCTTAGCTTAGCCAGCTAGCTACCGACAGGCTAATGTAGCAAGTAGCTGCAAGACTCTTGTGTTTTGCAGATGATGGAGCTGTTTGGAAAAGGGGGAAAAATGTTGATTTTATTGTTAAAAAATTACAAGAGSTTATTATTGAAATAGAGAAATGGGCGTTGCAATGGGGATTTAAGTTCTCAGTTGATWAAACGAAAGTAATGATATTTAATCAGAAAAAAATAAACAAGGAAATAAAATTAAAATTATATAACCAAGAGTTAGAGCAGGTAAAGTGTATAAAATCTTTAGGGTTTGATGAAAAATTAAAATGGCATATACTTATTCAAAAAGTTGTTGATAAATGTAAGAAAACTGTGAATATTTTGAGATGTTTGGCTGGCAGTGACTGGGGAGCAGATAGGAAATCACTAAAACAGATTTACACAGGAATGATCAGATCCAACATAGACTTTGGTTGTATAGTTTACGGTTCAGCAGCTAAAACACATCTGGTTAAATTAGACATTATTCAACATCAGGCACTAAGGATATGTACTGGAGCATTTAAAACCACACCAGCAGCAGCTTTAGAAATAGAAATGGGAGAAATGCCGTTAGATTTAAGAAGATCAAAAT